TAAACCTTCATTAGAATGATAATTAGAAATATACTGTATGTTTTCATTTAAAATCATTTGATAGTAGTCATGTCTTACGGGAAAACAGTGAACATAGTCAAATTATAATGTTTACTTATATTCATATTCTTACATATTCAACAGTTATGGATCCCATTTACCCAAGAGACCCATCTGATGTTCTTCCTGCATCAAGTAGAAGCTTATATGAAGATCTAGATTTGGATGTAGCCAACCAATTTATTTTATTATTTGTTTTTATTACCGCATGTTGTTAAAATTGTTTGTATTTTCATATATATATATGAACTGTTCTGTATTTATAATATTTTAGCAATAATTCCTTTTATATTTTCATCATGTTGTATTATCTTAAGTTGTCTACGTTGCAATCCTTTTTCTTAATAAAATCCTTATATTTAATTTGTTAGGACAGATAACCATTTGTGTTTTGTTTGAGTAAAAACAATCCTTTAGCCACAGTTCTGTTGTCTATTAGAGGTAGATATGTAGTCATTTAAAAGCTGTGTATTTGGTCTACTCTTGGGCTGTGGTTAGACGTCTATTAACTTTTCACTGACAGCCCAAATTCAACCTTGTTTTAGCCTAGACCTATTTTCACCATCTAATACATGTCTACAGCCGTTCAGTGGTGGTCTAATTGATGACTAGACTAGTTTTGGGCTATGGTTAGACGTCTACCAAACTTTCACTGACAGCCCAAATTCAGCCCTGTTTTAGCCTAGACGTCTGGGCTCTGTTTAGACGTCTTTTAACCGTGAAACTGCTTGCTGGGATGCTACTCCTCACAGGTGTGGCATATCAAGATGCCGATCAGACAGCATGGGTATTGCACAGGTGCGCCTTAGGCTGGCCACAATAAAAGGCCACTTGAAAATGGGCAATATTTGAGAGAAATAGGCCTTTTTGTAATCGAAACTGCCTACTATACTAGTAGTACTACTGATTTTGCACAAATGTAGTATGCAGTATGCAAACGCAGCAGACGAGTCCAGCAGCAACATGAGAGTAAAGATCCGCAGCTGTGAGACAGTTTAAATGTTCGTACCGCTGTTATTCGCTGTTATTGTGTCTTTACATTCTGAGTAATGTTATAACTTAAATCAAGAGATCTTATTGTTCCAATTTTGAAAACCGGAAACTAGCAAAGCCTGTCGTAGCATGCTGCAAAATAAATCTATTTAACAGTTTCATACTACATATTATACCTCATACAGTATGCAGTATACAGCTACATACTACGGTTGCCAGTAGTATGTTGTAGGCGGTTCCGAATACAGATCGAGTTCAGCTCATGATGAATGGGGGCAAAATCAAAAGTGTTGCATTTATTATTTTGTTCAGTACTTCTACTCCACTACATCTCAGAAGCAAATATTATACTTTTTATTCCACTACATTTTTCTGACAGCTTTAATTACTAGTTACTTTGTAGATTATACATTTTCAAACCTTTCCTGTCCATGTATGTGGTGATTTTGAATTTGGATCTTTCTGATAAACTGAATGAAGTGTTTATACTTATCTATACAAACTTTTAAACATGCATTGCTGTAGATTACACTACCCAACAGTATTCAAAATAGTTAAAATTAGCACAGTCCTACAGCAGTAAAATGCAACATCTATAAAAAAAAACGTTTTAACGTTTCCCCTGAAGTTGCCTAGAAAACAGAAATGTTACCTGAGCAATTTTATTTGCTGTAGGCTGTATTTAGGTGCTGATCAACTCCAAGGCCTGTCCTTGGAAATACAATGCCATTTTCCCCATACCGCGGTGAAGTTAGTTTTAAGTTGGATATTCGACAGACATTCACCCAGGATCCAGTGACGGCTTTTTAGTCAGTTCACCCAGTGACGGTTGTATAAGTGCGGTTAGCTCACCTCTGATGGCTCGCTTTTAACCAACGGGGGTTAGCTTAGGGACCGTCAATAAATTACAATTGTGAGAACAGTGTTATGGGAAAATCATTATTTATTTCAATAGCTTCCAAGTCATGTGACTTCAGGGACTTCAAACCAATGCCGAATTGTAGTACTGCACTAGGCAAATGAGACACACCCCTTAATATTTGATTTGAGTGCATTTTTTATTTTATATGAATATTTATTCATAATTTATGGAAAATAATGCCTTTTTTTTTTCAATAGCGTCCAAGTCATGTGACACAGGGACTTCAAACCAATGCTGAATTGTAGTACTGCACTAGGCAAATGAGACACACCCCTTCATATTTGATTTGAGTGCATATTCGAATTTATATTAATATTTATTCATAATTTATTGAAAAAAGTGCTGTTTTTTTTCAATAGCTTCCAAGTCATGTGACACTGCTGCTCTGCTCAATGCTGTGGAAGAAAATGACTGACTCTCCTGTAGTTGTACAAGAGGTGTGTAATATGTGTAACGGGTAGTAGTACAATTCGGCATTGGTTTTGAGTCCCTGAATCATTTGAAATGGAATCTATTGAAGAAAAAAATATAATAAATATTCATATAAAATAAAAAATGCACTCAAATCAAATATGAAGGGGTGTGTCTCATTTGCCCAGTGTAGTACTACAATTTGGCATTGGTTTGAAGTCCCTGTGTCACATGACTTGGAACAGGGACGTGCACAGGAATTTTGAAGGGCAGTTGCTCTGACCTGAAAAAAGGCACTAAACACAGTATCCAAAATGTATTAACAATATAAATGTCACCAAAATACATATGAGAAAAAGAGTTCCTTATATTATTGTTTATTGTTTTTTTTAATCATTATTATTTTTATTTTTTTTCCTTTTTTTTTTTATTTGAAAATAAATAATCTAGATTGAATTGACAGATGGGGAAAACTCGCTTCTAATAAAATATTAAATAAAAAAACGCTTAGATTTTGGAAAAAAATACAATCCTTTTTTAACCTTTTGGCTTCCCGTACATTCAGTTGCGCTTCTAGCTCGTATTCACTTCTGTTGGTACGTATCACGTATGGTAACTGGGCAAAACTACGCATGATTTGTTGTAGTATGATTGCATAAAGGAAGGAAACAGGAATTCCGGTAGGGAACAGAATCGACTGACGTGCAGGCAGCGCTGCAGCAGTGCAGCCACTTAAACAGAGTTTGCTCTTCCCCTGCTGAATGGAAGTGAATGAGGCTTTGCGATCGCGATTATTTTTTTATTTTATTTTTTTTTCTCGGAAGGGCAACTTGAGTCAGGAAAGGCAAACGGGCAGTTGCCCGGGCAACCAGAGCAACCCCCCTGTGCACGTCCCTGACTTGGAAGCTATTGAAATAAATAATGATTTTCCCATAACACTGTTCTCACAATTGTAATTTATTGACGGTCCCTAAGCTAACCCCCGTTGGTTAAAAGCGAGCCATCAGAGGTGAGCTAACCGCACTTATACAACCGTCACTGGGTGAACTGACTAAAAAGCCGTCACTGGATCCTGGGTGAATGTCTGTCGAATATCCAACTTAAAACTAACTTCACCGCGGGTTTCCACATTGCCACGGGACTGACAGGGTTCCATGTCTGTAGCCTGTTGGCTACTTATTCGGACTCAAAGTTTCTTAAAGAGAAAAGTAACGTCAAGACCGATGTCGTATTTGCTACTTGCGGAGTAACGTTACGAGCTCCCAAAGAGCCGAGTGAACGTTAACCGACGTGTTTATCAGATGCGTCGTCGTGCGATGGGCGGTTATCAAAGTTGCTCCAAACAGTCTGCGCTGTTATTGTCCCCCACCTGTTTTGCGTTATGTCCCGCCTTACAACGCTGTGATTGGCTAGCTCGTTACTTCGACGCGTCCTTTTGATTGGATAGCTCCACTGCTTTTCTTTCAGTCCCTTACGCCAGTGCGGTTCTCAAACCTTTTCACGTTAAGGACCCTAAACTGTCACAAATTAGACCACGGATCCCCATTTATAGCACTTTGTCACAGGGTCCCCTGTGTAATATGATTTTTGCTTTGAAATGTTTTATTACAGAAAGTATATGAAACCCACTACCGTAATAATTATACCTTATGTCATTGTTTTGCCTATAAATGAATAGTGAACATAAATTATTCCTCGTTTTGGCTGGGGACCCCCGGAACCTCCTCAACGACCCCGAACCCAGTTTGAGAATCACTGCCTTATACAGTCTAATCGTAAGTCCCACTAGACCCAACACTAGTGACACTACTGACGCTGAAGATAGTGTAATTATAAAACAAATATCAATATATTTTGAATATTAACTCGTTATGGCTAAATCAACATATCTACAGAAGGAATGCAACTCAGTTGAACTCTGTCTTGAACCATATGTTACCATCGAGAAAAACAAAAGGTAAGGGAACTGTTAACGTATTCTCCTCAAAACTATTAGCCTACCTTCAGTGTGGTAAATTATCAGATCTATCTTATTTCGCAATAAAGATTAGAGTTAAATCCTTTGTGCAACATTGCAATACAAGTTGCTTAGTAACACAATGAAATACAACAATAAAAAAATACGGTCAAATTAAACGGAAATATAAGGAAATAATAATATAGTAGCCTAAACAAACAATGTAGAACAGAGAGACCAGTGTACCCCAGTAGAAGAGGGTAGAATAAAATAAACTGGATTAAGGGAGTGCTAAGATAAAAAGGCAAATATAGTTATACCACAATTAGTACAACTGAAGTGATTGTTAGTGGATCTCACATGTTGCTTGTTGCAAATGTTAATTGGGATGAAATTAGACTGGAAACAAACTTGTGAAGATCTATTGGTTGATAAAAACTGATTTTGGGACAGGGTGACATAAGGCATGCCTTTCAGGACGGCATGCTTCTTAAAAGACTTACAGGAAAAAGGAGAAAATTAATCAAATAAGTCACAGGCGAGGGATCACCTAGAAACTCTATCATCCAGCGTCCAACTGCTAGCATCCAATCACAGGGACGCGTTGAAGAAACCAGAACTAGCCAATCACAGCACGGTAGGGCGGGACTCGCAAGACGGGGTTTTGCAGGGGACGCTGTGAAATTGTGAGTTCACCACCAAGGATCAAGCATGTTTTTGCAAAGACTGATGGTCTATTTATCGACAGTATGCCTGTTTTGCTATATGATAGGACTCACTCTTATAATCAGTATCATGCATTTTATTTCGCCAAGCCTCTACAAGAAGGCGATCCTCAGAATGGGTGAAAAGACGACCATGACCCAGAATCCCAACTTTAAGTATGAGGATTGGGGTCTGACATTTACCTCTATAAGCTTCCTTAAAACCGTGTCTCAGCACATGTGGCTGTCTCTCGGACAAGAGGCTTTTGAAGGAGGAGAGGCTCCGGACTCACCTGTTGTCAACATGGAGGGAAAGAAAACAAGTGTCTGCAAGTACTTGAAAGGTACGGTATCAGACTCAAGCTGTCCTGCTTTGGTGCAGTTTTATCGCTCTCTGCTGCTAAAGCTTGTAATTGTTTTCTCTGCAGACAACAGACCGCTGGTGTTGAGTTTTGGAAGCTGCACCTGACCCCCGTTTATCTACAAACTTGAGGAGTTCAAGCAACTCGTCAAGGACTTCAGCGATATAGCTGACTTTCTTGTGGTCTACATCGCCGAGGCACATTCAACAGGTGAGTGTCAGTTGTGGCAGGCGAAGTCATTATCATCATGACATGTACTGGTGGAGGAGAAACCATTGTTCCAAAATCTATGAGAGGAAGATGAAGACAGTAAGCAAGCAATGTTAATTAGCACTTTACTGAAATACTTAAAAGTGCACATTGGACAAAAATATAGGCTACTCTATAAAGCTTTTAAGATGAAAAGTACTTAGTTTTCCTTACCCTCAAATGTACAATACTTATCAGTACTTTACATACTAATGAGAAAAAAATGTTGTAGTGTGAATTTTGCATGATTACATCACTCAGTATGTAGTTAACACTAAAAGCAGAAAGTCTTCTTTTTACATATTTTACAAAAACTGTTCAATGTTCACCTTTATTACAACTGCTTTAACTGCTGATGCTGTAATGCACTTACGCAACACCCATAAAATAGGATTTATTATGCTCCTTAACATTGATGGCCTGCGGCTTTCAGTGTCATTCCAGTTAAATCACATTCTTTATCTCTGTGTCAGACGGTTGGGCTTTTACCAACAACTTTGACATCAACCAGCACCGGAGCCTGGAGGAGAGGCTGTCTGCAGCCCAGATCCTGGTTCAGAAGGAGCCCCTGTGTCCGGTGGTTGTGGATGAAATGAACAATGTCACTGCCATAAAGTATGGCGCTCTGCCCGAGAGGCTTTACATGCTGCAGGCTGGGAAAGTTGTCTACAAGGTGGGACCCGTGCACCACTGACACCAAAACAAATCCCTGTGCTTTCATTTTATGTGATCCTCTTTGCTCTTCTCATGCAATTGCGTGATCAGAAGTAATACCAGCATTGTGGGTGTAAAGGTCCCTGCATTATCTCTTCTCATGAAGAGATCGCGTGAGACGGATCAGTGGAAGAAACAGACAACAACACTCAAATTCTTGGCATGGAGCCAGGCTCACATTAGCCATGCCAGAAATGGGAAAATTACATGTTACCACATGGCAATTATATGTCTCTGGTGTCTTATGTTGGCATGATCTTTCTGATTCTAATGAAAGTGGTACAGAAAATGAAAATGTTATTATGATTTTTTAACTTTCCCCCCGCTCTGTGTTCCTAAGGGTTCGAGAGGGCCTTGGGGCTACAATCCACTGGAGGTGCGTTCGTTCCTGGAGAAAATGAAATAAGGACGGTGTCAAGCCATGCCAGATTTGCCATCTGACCAGTCTTAAATGAAGGGGGTCTCTGTTAAGTAGGGGATAGGGGTGTCAACATTGTAACCAACATATATTACTGATATAACACAATAATACCATTTGTTTTGTTTTTTTTTTAAATCAGACTCACATCAGTACACTGTCACATCAACACGCAGTTCTATAGCTGTTCTCTCTTACATCAACCTTTGCATGTGTGGAAATAGTACAAACCCTCTGAACCTGCACTAATGTTGCCTTCAGGCTCTGCTGTACTCCGAAAACCTATCTCAACTGTCAGTCTTTTGAGCTTGAACCCGCCTCTCAGTGTTTCTAAGTGACAGCTGCAGATAAAACCGTCGGCGTCTGTAGCCAGATGAAGCGAAACACAGAGAGACAGTCGTCATAATTCCAAACCGTAAGGTTTAAGTCAATGAAAGCACTTGTTTTCCCACTTCTCTTGCAGTTATCATTATGTATACCATCAGCATTGTAAACTCTATTAATCACCAAGGTTTCCTGTTGTTTATGAATGCTCCAAAGTGATTTCACAGGAGGCTGCTTTTCATGATGATTACAGTACAAACCTCTGGTAACTGTTATCTGATGAAAGATGACTTAAAAGTAGGCCTCCTCTGAATTATGTAGGAGCATTTATGATTTTCCGCATTTCATGCATAATACGCATCTTGTTAAACAATCTGCATATCTTTTTGACTGCTCTTATATCACAATGAAACATATTTTGAATGTTTGCATTATAGTATAATAAAGAATAACCTGAGAAGACTCTTGCATCAGGTTCTCAGTTAATATGCGACGTATGACCCAGTGCGTCGCAGTTTATCATGACACTGGTTACCAAATGTCAGTTTACTCCCATCTTCTATGGCAAGCCAGTGTAACTGGATGGGAATGAAAAAGCAAAATGTAATATGTATCACATTTTGTTCAGTTTTCACTGAAAAAACATGGTTGATCCAAGTTATTGCTCTCATAGTAAATTAAAATGAGAAGCACCAGAACTGTGAGCAAGCCATTGTTCGCCACACATCTGTAGTTGTACTGTTGCTTCTGAGTCGCTGTGACTCCCAATCTCTTTCTCTCCCAACCCATTTAGACAAAAATCTGATTGTCTACAAAGCTCCAGAGGTTTTCATTTTGACATCGTGTTTCTTCAGCGAAAAAGTTTTCAGGGCTTTCATGTTGAGGCACACTGCAGTCGTACACCATGCGATAATCCAGCTGTTGTTTACTGTCTTGTCTGGTAGTGATAAATGGTAAACGTACCGTATGTGGGTCATGAGAGTTCAATGAATCCAGTACGCATACATGTGAGCTGTGGAGAGTGGTATTCAAGCCCTGATGTAAGTTAATGTCTAATCTAATCTTTGCACATCCATTGATTTTCACTCCCAGATTGCATAAAAGGATATAACATGTTTGGAGAAAACCCAGTCTCACTACAAAACTAACCGCCAAGTTGTTCGATAATGTTACATAACAACTGAGTCAAATGTGAGTTTTGTGGCTTTTTCATCTGTTTTACTGAAAATATATGTAAGTGGTCACTGAGCACAAAATGGCGTATAATTATTATGATAATGGAAAATACTGTAGATGCAGCAGTCAGATTTTATTGCCCCTCAAGGTGAGAATAACTAGAATCCCGACTGTTAAACTAACTACTACTATACTGTTTGTCTCTTTTTGACATTTTTTCACTCTTCTCCTCCTCCTCCTCTCCACAAACAATAAATTAATATCCTGCTCATATAATTGGGTGCATTTTAACATGTTTTCCTGTAAAATTTGTCACAATCCACACAATAACAGAGAAGCCTTAGTGATAATGTGCACTTGGTATGTCTGATTAATGTAAAAATGAAAAGTAAGGGATGTTTTAATATATAAAGCACAATAGAACCCTGTGACTACTCAAATAAGACTCAGAAACTACAGGATGTAGTCTACTACTAGGAAATGGTAGTGAACAAAGCAGTTTTGTGTGGCCACAGCTTTCATAATATTCACTGTGTGGCTCTCAAGTTGGAGAGGAGGTTTGGCTGCTGCCCAGCCAGGCCACATCCTGTGGAGACGCGCCAGCAGCAGCTTAGCCTCGTTTCCTATTGTTAGACATGAACCAGAACACTGTCAGATCCTCACAACCCTGTGCCTTGGGAAGATTCACAGCAGAATCTTCACATGAAACTACAGTCAGCTTGTTTAGTATGTTGAGTTGTTTTTAGGTAGTGTAAATATTGTCTATGCCAGAGGTCTCTGCAAAGCAGGAGAGTCCACTGAAGCCCACCAGAGGGCAATGTGAAGCCATTTTTAATTCAACAGGAGAGAAACACACAAGAAACACATGAGGCTGTTTTTTCTTTTAGGATCCCAGACTTTGGAGTTACACATCTGACTGAGTTTAGATCATCTTCAAAATCAATTTGCCCACAAAAACAAAACAAAAAAATCTTTAATGCAATACCCTCAGTTGGTTTAAGCTACCTTTCTCATGGACAAATCCAAATAGCAAACCTTTTCCTCAGAGAGGGGCAACCAAGGGGGAAAGGCCGCATGGCAGGGTGACTTGACCCAATCCCAATCTCACCCCATGGATGGATCCTATTTACACCGTGTGAAAAGTTTCAGTGTATATTTTCTCATACTGGTCACGTTCCACATGTTGCTTGTGTAGAAATGAAGGCCTGAGGATATGCGGTGATGTTTTCAGGCGTTGTCATCCAATCAATGTACAGTGAGGAAGATCCCAACAAGGAGAGACACGGCTACAGTAAAGACACAGGTAAAGGAAACTCAGACTAGAGGTTCCCAACTTTTGTCCTTTGACCATTTAAAATAAAGTAGCATCAACCTGCGACCCCTCATCACAGATATTAGATGTCCACCAAAGGGAAAACTATTCAATTTTTCACGAAGTTTAGAAATGAGAAATTCTGATAAATTTGTTCTCATGTTACAGCATGTAGTGTGTTGCCCTGCCGACAAGTTTCCCTCGTGCTCCAGGATTTCCTCTTGCTGGTCTGGTAGTTGTGGACTACAGCACCCACTGGCTCCACCAGGCACAAAAATGAAGAGATCAGTGATCTTTTCATAACGGTGCATCTTGCCTGCGACAGGTTGTGTGAACATAATGTTAGCTGCTGACTGTTGGACAATTATACTTTTACAACCGTATTTTTTTTTTTAAATCACTATAAGTGCAAGCTTAAGTCGGATCCATCCTGGTCTTTCACATTACAAAGCAAGGCATGTTCTATGCATCAGTTCAATATTTGTATGTGTGTGTAACTTAAGTGTTCATTTAACATTACTTGTCATGTCCACAGCTTTGGTGGCATATTCCAAAGTCATTTACTCATTCAGGCAGAATAAAAAAGAACTCACACAGGTAGATAAGTTATTGTAAAATTATATTAACAAGCAATCTTTCCTCAATTTGAAATAAAAAAATATCAGCAAATAAAGGCAACATAGGACAGATGTGTATAATGCGTAATGTTCACAGGAAAAAGAAAAAGAAAAAAATTCTCATCACATTTACAAGACTGCCGCTAAGTTTATAATGATACCTACTAGAATCGGTTTAGAAAGCTTTGACTAACTCTGAATAACTGGGGCAATATATGTAGTCAAAGACTGTATCAAAATATAGAAAAAATGCGTGGGTGGGCAAGAAAGGGGTCAGGGCCAAGGGGGACGACCAATGATAAAGGAGGGAAGTAGGAACAACTAAAATGTATGAGATTAAAATGGGCAGCTCATTTATAGCCACTTCATCATAACCAACCAAACTGGAAATAACACAAGGCTACGACGATGAAGAGCACAAAGTGTTAAGCACAGACAGGTAAAGAGATATACACCACATCTTAAAGCAGGTGTCCACACAGAGAAGAGCAGCACTAGGTAGTATGTTGTACACAGATTTCTCAGCATTCATGCACTCGCTTCTTATGCTGACGTCTGGCTTCCCGTGACAGAGCGCAACAGCGACCAAGCTGTTTAAATTTTAACAGCAAAGAGTGTCGGATCGCATCACTGTCAACAATAACAGACTGAACTTGAAACGGGATCAATTTGACATTGTAAGAACCATCTGAGCACTTACATACCGTGAAAGGTCGTCACAATAAAAGCCGTATTTTTTCAAAGCCTTTCCCCCTTAACAAACCTCTTTAAATAGAAAGGTGGGCATTGGGAAGAATAGTACATGTTCCATAAAGGTGGCCACAGAGTAAAAGGCAAAATCTGAGTCCTGTGTCAACTGACTTTGGTGACACAGTATGCATGGCGATAAGTAAAATGACAAGACAAAGACTTTTCCAAGCTCACAATGCATATACACACTCTCCAGTGTTTTAAGTGACAAAAGCGGAGACATTTCCTGCACATCTTGCACCACAAAGCAATAATTAAAAAGTACAAGAGGTAAACTTCAACCATTTCTCACCCCTCATCGCTCTAGGGTTGAGGAGACTGAGAGGGTTTATGGGGGCTCTGCAAAGAACATAAAACGTGTCATGTATGCATTTTCAGTAGCTGGTTTTTTGTCACACTAGGATTTGTGATAAATGGAGAAATTGTCCTTCATTTTGAGAAAGGAGCAGTGGCCGCCAGCCATTTCGATTTTTCTCCGATCAGCATTCTGGCGTTAGTGTGGAACCAAAATGGCGCCTGTCCCTGATTGTGTGCTGATGTGTTTGGCCGTGTCCTATAGTGAGTTCAGATCCTCGGAATGATGGCAAATAATGTTGGGCAAGGTGGAGTTAAGGGGGGAGGGGGAGGGGGGGGGGGTCACACACTCATCGTCATGGTTGGAGAGTACTATGAAGAGACAGAGAAGAGAGGATTAAAACACACCTTTTCCCAACCGAGTTCTTCAGTCAGGGGTGTTAATGTGCTGCGACTGTGGCTTCACTCTATGGCCAACAGCACTCTACCTCTGGCCTCATCAAAGTAATATTACAGCCACCAACAGTCCAGTGATGTTAGCTCAGGATAGGAACTTCCAAGAAGGGAGACTTACGTTCTCGCTCTGAAAGGAGTGGAGGAAGTTTCCGCTCAGCTCCCCGTCATCCCTTGGGGTCCCAGGAGGATTGCTAATGCCACTTAAATTGTTTGGGGAATTCTGGAGACAAAGAGTGCAGTGTTTTTTTAAAAATGTATAACATTTCACTCCATTCAAGATTAAGCTCTAAATGCCCTCTGCATTGATTGGTTACAACATTTACCTTGTTCATTCCATCCATATCACCAGAGCCTAAAAAAAAGAAACAATATGAAAAACAATTTTTGGAGTCTCTGACCATAAGAAAGACATTTTTATGAAGTGGCTCTACCTGTAATACAATCTACTGTCCTCTACTGAAGTATCTTGTGACATTAGTGGACAAAAGTGTACTCTGAAATCATTTAATCTGCAAGAATGCAACCCGAACATTTCTGTGTTGTGTTAGCAAGTGTACTGTGGTGCGTGGTGTTACCTAGTGACCCGTTCATGTGGTGTGGTTCCATCCCAGCCATGGCTCCCAGGGGTCCGTCAGAGCCGGGGCCCATAGGGAACTGGTGGGGAAAAGAGACAGCATGGACTCACTAACCACATCTCCACAGCACAGTAGGCATCCAAATGGAAGCCCTCAGTTGCCAAGCTCTACAAGGTTCAACGTAAGTGACTAAAATAGCCAGGAAATCGGTTACTAAGCAGAACATTTACTACTGTGCACTTCAGTTCCTCTTGCAACGGAACAATCTTCTGTCTGATCATT